GCCAATAAGAGCCTCAACACGGATGTTAGTGTGTAACAATTAAGGATTTATTAATATTTGATAGTAACGTTTCGAACCTAGGTTTGGATCATCTTCAGACAAACGCCTGTACAAAACAATATATATATAAAATGCATGTATGAAAAAAAGATTACAAGAAGCAACGATTTAACAAAACTTATATAGGTTTCAATGTATTATATGTCAAAAGACCTTCAACATGTCAAACGTAGTCCAGTAAAAGTAATGATAAAATTGTACGACTGTCACTTTTCCATGCCGAAAGTCAAATGCTCACAAAACAGTATGAAAATTCAAACAAAACTCCGCAAACAAACACAGACATCTACCAACGATATTAATCGATCAGAACTAAAGTCTCCTGAATCGTTCGATAAGAGGCAAATATGTCTTATCCAGCAACTCGGTATCGCTCTGTGAATTAAGACCCATCGATTGTTTTTTAATATAAAGCATTTCGGATATTAAACGCCTTGAGTAAGAGTGCTCCTCATCTAATAACATTTGTCCAATCAAAATCATGAGTATATTTTAAACAATGGTCAGTAATCACCGAGTGTTGCGACGAATGCCTTTTGTGCTCATTAATCCGCGAAAGCAACAATCTCCTTGTTGTCCGACATATGAGGCCTGACAATTCTTACATTTTATACAATAAACCACATTTGATCTAGAAAGGGTAGGCAACGGATCTTTATGCACTTTAACAAATCGCGATAAATTACTAAAATTAACAAATGCCAACTTCGCATCAATTTTAGATTCCACATAATCAGCAACGCACATCGAGATCAAACGCACATAGGGAACCGTATCGCTCCTATCTCTGTCCTCAAGGACACGCTCTAAACGCCTCTCCACTCTAACAGATCCATTAATTAAACTCCTCAGACAACCGCAAAAAAATATTTTGAAATTAATAAAACATCAGTATTTGAACATAATTACAATTGAAATTCAAAATTAGAAAACAATTGAAAAAAATATTTTGCCAAAACACATTTATTCATTTAATAAAATCATCAAAATAATATCATATCCAAATAATTGTAACCCAGAAAGCGTAGATAGTGAAAATGAATAAATGTGTTTTGGCAAAATATTTTTTTCAATTGTTTTCTAATTTTGAATTTCAATTGTAATTATGTTCAAATACTGATGTTTTATTTATTTCATTTTGTATTTGTTTTATTTTATATATTATATTATATTATTTTATATTATTTTATTGGATAAATGCATAAAACGATAAGCATTGGCTGCGTTTAGGAAACGTGCTAACTGTGCTATTGCATACTTTTATTTTTATCCTTATTAAATGTAAAACAAAGTATTAATTGAAATTATAAAAATATTGCCATTTAAAAATACGCACTAAAAAAATTAAGTTAGTGGTGAAATTAATTTCATTTTACATGAATATACGTATATACGTTCTTATATTACATAAATAAAAAAAAAAAAACCAACGGGAATCGAACCCTAGTCTCAAGCGTAGTAGTCAGGCGCTTAAGCACCTGCGCTACACCGCGCTTCTGGAAAACCGTCCTAACGTAACGGTATATAAGTAAATCCATATAGTTTGAATCGATTTTTATCAAAAATGGCTGAGAGGTGCGTCCTATCCCTTTGCTCAAGTATTCTTCTGGTACAGTATTATACTAAAAAAAAACCTTATTGAAATCGGTGACCCACACTTCGCGATCTCCTCTTGTAAGCAAAGAAAAAGAAGAAGAACACTGTACTCACCATACCACGGAGTAAGAGTAAGGAGATCGAACTTGATAGCGCGCGAATGAAAAAAATGGCTCCGATTTTTACGGTTCATTGAGAGGGAATCCGTTCAAGGGAATAGTTTTTTACGGTTAGACGCCATTTGCAATTTGAAACATAATCTGACTCACGAAGTAAGAGTAAGGAGATCGAACTTCTCGTGACATACAAAAGTGGTTCCGATTGTGACAGTTCATTAGGACTTCGGAGGAAATCCGCAGCTATGGCATGTTGGATTCGAGAATGTGAGACCAAAGGAGAGGTTTCCAGAAAAAGAAGTTTATTTACACCTAGGTGCGATTAGTAGAGATATTAGTAAAGGATTATTTCTAAAATAAAAAGATGCATCCTTAAGGAAACTTCATTACACCAAGAGTATGATGAGTATTTACATAATATCTCTACTACTCGCAACTCACCGTCCTAGATGTAAATAAACTTCTTTTTATAAATGTATGCATAACTACGCTGCAATCGTATATATAACAAGATAGGTTACATATATTAAACGTGTACATGTGGTAGTTGTGTACATGCATAGTTTTGCAAATGGCGTCCAACCATAAAAAAAACTATTCCCTTAAGCGGGTTTCCTCCCAGGAAACCGTAAAAATCGGGACTATTTTTGTATCACGGAGTTCGATCTTCTTACTCTTACTTCGTGTCACCATACTCATGCCAGAGATCTATAGCAAGGAGAAATACTAACTTTATAGGTTTACTTTTTTTTAGAAAACAAATGCCAGAGTTTTATTTATTGCAAATGCCAGAGTTTTATTTATTACAAATGCCAGAGTTTTATTTATTATTAAATAAAATAGATCAAACTAGCCTTTTATCCACTGATGGTGATTAAAATAAAAATCAGCTTTCTTCTTGGGACGTTTTGAATGTTATTTATTAATTTCCGAGCATCATCAGCCACTAAATTAACAAAAAATTAATTAGTATAAAACATGTAAAACTCAAGTTAACAAAATATGATAGGATAAAAATCAAAAGCTTATACGCACCTTTGAAACAATTACACGCTACTGCATGTCATCAAACAAAAAAAGTCAAATCGAAAAATTAATTCAGGAAACCAAAATGAATTATGTAAACAAAGTCAAACATAATAAATTATATGTCAAAATTATGACTAAAAATTATAAAATCAAATAATAAAAAATGAATAAGTACACAACAGCAGCACAAATACGTCAACGACCATCTCGTATAACATGTGTCATGTACAAATAAACAAGAATATGTGATAAAGGCTGAGAAACGTTCTGTAAAACACAGGCGAGAGAAACGTCTTCAAGCGGGAGGAAATTATTTATTATTATAGACTTATTTATTTCTTTGTAAACGTCAAAGCACATGCACATATGAGTAATAACTGCTCCAACAAAAGCTGTTGCTTAAAACGTCTTCGGACATGTCTTGGCGAAGATCGTCTTATTTGTCAGTGTATGCGTGAAATAAGATGGCCTTTAATAACTATGAATTTATGATGAATAATATAATCTCAATCTCATGCTTGGATGGATCTATGAATCATATTAAGACGCATTTAAATAAAATCATCTTGACTAAGATATTTCTTAAAACGTTTGCTCAAGTCCCGCCTTATTTTTGACTATGAATGTAGAGAGCGTCTTAAGACTAAACTTAAGGCAATCTTAAAAATAAGTACGAACTATGAATACGGCCCTAAGAGGTAACAATCTTGACGTAAAATGCTTAAGGGCCTTCTACAATAAGATATTAGTAATAAATCAGAAGTTAGAAGCAAGAAATTGACCAATCACAGTCAAATCACAGAAGAATAATCGATTGTTATTAATCAATTTCTTGCTTCTAACTTCTGATTTATTACTAATATCTTATTGTAGAAGGCCCTTTAAGCTACTTCTGTCTACAATACGGTGAAGTAAGCGTAGAATCGCAGTATAAAGGTTGAAACATAGACTGTTGGAACATAGACTTACATAATACGACATAAGAAAATCAATCAATCAGACTTTTTCACGACTATCCTGGGAATAAAAATGAAGGATTTTGATTTGTTAATTTCCCCAGCAAACATTTCGGTCACAAAACCATATCCATCTGTGTCCTCAGTAGAATATGGTTTAGTAACCATGTCTATCAACATGTGAAATGTCAAAATGCGACCAAAATAATGACAGAATTTGCCACAAGCAAAGCAAAGCCAAATTATCGCCAAAGTAAAGCCAAAACCCGGAATAGGTTTGGTCATCGTCTGTTGGCGCCAAATTGCAAACAGTCTGCACATATACACGAACAGACCTGCTTGGCGTTTGGTGGCAATCTGTCGTCAATGCGTTTAACAGATCGACCCGACTTTTGTCGTAAACAGATCTCTGGTACGGTTTGGCGGACTTTGGTCACAGTATTGCTAAAAGCAGATCTGTTTGCAATCAACCATCTATTTGTTGTCAATTTCACTGACATATATGGAATCGTTTTGGCCGCAATACTCTCATGTATTTATCAACAGAGTTGTTGCGTTTTTTCTTTCTGTGTGCTAACAGTTTTGGCAGTGTTTCCGTATTGTAGCATTTCAGCAACCAGTTTCTGTTGCCAAGGTCTGCGCCGAAATTGTCAAAAACAGAAATTGTTTGCTGGGTCCTTATGCGTTATGTTAACAGCCTATGCTCTGCCTTTAAAATCGTTGTCAACGTTTAAAGTGGCGATAAAATTGTGATGATTGAAATGGATTTTTATAAACTAATTTTGTCAAGTATGTGCATTATTATGTGATTATTATCAGAAGGAACCTCGACGATAGATAGATAGATGATAGATGACGAAGAGCGGGAGGCTTGTGAGACCCTATTGTCACCTAGATCTCTAAGATCCTCTGCGACTCCTGCTAGTTGTTAATCGACCAAGCTGCTAAAACCCGGCATTTGTTGCCAGGCTACAGATGGCCGATTTTAATTATTTTCAGGTCCTCGGGCTCCGCAAACATGGAGCCCAAAAATCTGAATCTCTTGAGTGCTAGAGACGGACAGCGACACAATATGTGCACGCTGTCCTCCCTCTCTTCGCCACAAAATCTACAACTACTTTCCTCAACTAGGCCTAAGTTGAATAAATGTGCCTTGAAGGCCCAATGCCTTGTGAGGAGACCGATACACAGTCTTTGCCTGTACTTACTCATTGTCAGTAGTTCTTTTCCTATCTGGCAATGGCTAAGTCATCAGGGCCTTAGCTTGGCGGCAGCTCTTCAGTATCTCCCAAGAGATCCTGTGCTCCCTTTTCAGCCAGTCCTTGATATGGTTTTTCCCTGTTGCAAAGGGAACTCCAACTATCTGGCAGACTGGTTTCTCTAAGGTACCCAGTTTTGCCAGACTATCAGCCACTTCATTTCCTTGGATACCTTGGTGGCCAGGTACCCAGACAAGCGTGATGTTGATTCGCTCGCCAAATCTGTTTAGAGCTTGCATACAGTCCCAAACCACTAAAGATTCAGTGATGGTCTTGGCAAGAGCTCTTATGGCTGCATTGCTATCCGTATAGATATTGATCCTCCTAGTTTTCGTTTCTCTTGAGAGTAAGAGTCTTGCACATTCCAGAATGGCCAGGACTTCCGCTTGAAAGACCGTGGCCAATTTACCCAGAGAGAAAAACTCTCTGTGATTTGATCCTGGACAGTAGATGCCTGCTCCATAGCAGCCGTTTGCTCCAGATCCATCAGTAAACCATGCATGAGTGCCCGGCTGGATCTGAAGATTTTTGTTTTTCCAGTTTGCCCTGGTGGTCAAGTTTATGGAGAACGCCTTGTCCACTTGGCGTATTCTGGATATTCTATCTTGCTTTAAGGTAAAGGGAGGTTTGTGAAGAAACTCGAGCCTGGTATGACCTACTCCGAAATCTCTCCACTCCCCCTGACACCTTAGTCTATATGCTGTGAGTTTGGCAACGCTGATGACAGTCAATCTTAGAGATGGAGTGCAGAGTGTCACAAATTAATATTATTAAAAAATTATTTCGACGTATATATGTGTATACATATATATATTTTCAAGCACATTCTTTGCACGACATCCTGCAAACGGCTCCTACAATTGAAGTTATTTCATTCATTTGTTTAAAGACTCCGGAGCCCGAAGAATCTTCTTCTTGTTTATTATTAATTTAAATTTACGCTGGTGGAAGATGGCGTTATTATCAGATTAATATTCGATAGATGTGCTAAGTATTGCGAGACAAACTCCAAGTGCTTCGGTGGCCTAACAAGGAAGGCGACGGCCCGGAAAGCCGAAGATTCCAGGTTCGACTCCTGGCTGAGGAGTTTTTTTCGCAATATTTTAAAATTATTTAGGGGGGTATTCGGGGTCCTTCATATATACGTGATGCAAATCCAGCATCCTATATGGAGGAAAAAAATTATTTTGACGTATTTATGTGTATATATATTTTTTTTTTCAAGCACATTCTCTGCACGACATCCTGCAAACGGCTCCTACAATCGAAGTTATTTCATTCATTTGTTTAAAAATAATTTATTTTGCTTACGCTCTTACTCCAGCTCTCTTAAAGCGGAAGTAGCCCTCTTACACCTACTTTTACTTCTTACGCCAGGCTTACTTCATCTATTGTAGACGGGTTCTAATAGCTAGTCTACAATAAAGGCTGTAAGAGTAGAGATTAAATTATTTTTCGTTGAAGTAATAACGAAAATAACAAAATAGGCAATTCCCATTTTGCACTGCTTACTGCCTTACTGTTAGGCAATGAAAGACGCGTGTCAAAAAACGCGAAATAATTACTTGTATAAACAAAAATGAAATAATTTCAAGAACCTTACTTCTTACTCTATACTGCCTACTCTCATTGTAGACGGCCCTTAAAAGTAATACTAAACCATGTACATGAAAAAAAATAACATGCAGATTACATAATATGTGAATGTGGTTTTTTTCGCCACATCAATGTGCTGTTTTGCTTGTATTTATTAGGTAGTTTTATTAATATTTATAAAATTTGCTCTATATATCTGAGATTTATATTTGCCGAGTCTGTACACGGATACTCGTTGCCACATGTACAGTGCGGAGCACCATATCGTGCGCCGTGAGGAGGAAGAAGTAGTTCTCCATCGGCCGCCTCTTACCACGCGCCAGCGGCCCGAAATTTAATCTATATATCGGCACGGTTACCGATGATACATACCGATGCGATTACCAATAATACCGACAGGCATATGTTACCATAAAATTATCGCGAACATTGAAAAGAGTAACTCTGCAATGAAAGTGACTTCAATAATTTATATCAAATATTTATTTAATTATTAGCTTTTACGTGATATAAGAAACTTACTTACGATAAGTGTAAAAAAGTAAAATATAAAAGTGAGTAGTTGAGTCCCCGTGACAATTTCAATATGTTTGATAGAAGGCCAATACGAAGGAAAATACCAGATAATATTGTAAAGAAAATGTATTTATTAAGAATATGACCATACGTTTCGATCCTGGTTTTGGATCATCTTCAGTGGTAAACTGCAGTAATTGAATAAAAATATGTGTAAATATACGTTTGGGAATGTCAGGAGTTTATAATCGTGTATCTTAAACAGGAATCGTAATAATTTACAATGAACTTACTGATGTTAAATAAGGTTGAGCATCAATCCATGAGTAAATTCTTTAAAATAACAAGCGTATCCTAAGTGATGTCTAAAAAAATCAAACTGTGAGTTGAAGCTAATGAAACAATTGTGATTACCAAACTAAGAAATTGAAATATAACTTAAATTACTTGTCACAAAGGAATCACTCTTTAGAAAGTACGATGTGAGAAAAACATTATACGTACAGTGTAATAACAAGACTGATGCTCGACCTTTACATGTGATCAGGAACTTATACTATTGCCTCCTCTCATACTCATGTGTTGTTTGTCATGAAAGTAAAACTAAACGAAGCTATTTTGTCTTGTACAATTCTATAAACAAAAACTATGGTTTTAACTTTTCAGTGTCGGACATGACATTAATTGCATTTTCTTGTAGTTTAATGTGTATCATCTCTGAGATTGTTTTTTTTGTATAAAAATTTTCAATGTGTGTGTTCTGCCAATTAAAGTCATGACCTTTTTGCAATCTATGTTCCGTGACTACCGATATATTTTCAACGTTTCTGTTAATTTGTCTCTTGTGTTCGTTGATTCTTGTTTGAAGCTTTCTTTTAGTCTACATAACTAGCGTTACAATCATTGCATTCTATACGATAAACAAGGTTTCTGTTCTGATCGTGTTCAACAAGATCTTTGAGACTTTTTATAAAACAATTCAATTTATTTAACCTTTACGCTGCCGGGATTTGAAGAGCATTATGTCCCTTAGAAAATTCCCAAATTTTGTGGTTGTATCTTTTATATAACTTATATAAAGTTGCGATCATAGGTAGAGTCTATATAGACCCTCCGGCAGCGTATTGGACCGGAGAAAATTAAAAAATTTTATTTTGTTTAAAAATCCGTTTTTTTTTTAGGTTTTTGAGGTCACTAAAAACGATAGTGAAGTTAGTTTTTGAGTACAGTAAATTTTTAGGGCTGTATGACTCTCCTTCAGAGAATATTTTCTAGAGTCACATTAAACGGTTCCTGTCAGAACCATAAATATATATTTGACAGAAGAATATTTTTGAGCGCAACCCTATAAAATAAAATCTCGCGTAACTGCTTCAAAATTATATAAAATAATTGTTTGTGTTATCCTTCTTATCTTTTCATACACACACACATTATTTGTTATTATCATTATTTTGTTAAATTTTTAAATTTTACATTGTGACGTTTTTGCGTGGGTGGTACAAAATTCTCGCGCCGCTCTCTCTCGCAAACGGAGAGTATAATTCGGGACTCGGGCAAACGTCCGCGAGAATGCAACGTCGAGTTTACGACAGGAACAAAAAGATGTTATTCGGGCAAACCGCTGCGTCGATCCGACGGGTTCTAGGTTGAAAGTTGGGCGCCAGACGCGTTCCCGCGTAAATTTTGCGTTGATCAGACACAATGGGCCGGCTAGCTCAATTTTTAGAACAAAGAGGGGCTGGGTTTAAGAAATATTTTAGCTTCGGGCTGTCCTTTGCCCGCGCGATAATAAGGTTCACACAATAAATAAGACCAGAATTAACAACGGTCAGTTACCAATTTCTTACGAAAAAAGTAGAATTACGGAATGAATAACAAAAAAAGAAATAAAATAAAATATATTGAACAAATGGCGTTTATACCAACTAACACAAGCCAACAAATAACATTAATCCACGAAATAAACAGTTAAGAAGAACGATACCGCGAATTTGCCGAACTAGCGATAATCGCAAGTGAATCCGTCGGAAAGGCACTCGTTACCGAAACGAGATAGCGGCGGTAGCAGGGTGTATAGCTGGAAGCAGGCTACACAAGTGAAGGGGTGCACTCAGTCACCAAATGCAAGCAGCGCGAGAATAAATTAGCACGTACGCAAGCTCACAGCAAGCAACGAAGCAACGCGGACTTACTTGATTTACAGGTTTTTGCAAGGTCGTCAAGTTTTCTCGTCTCGCCACAAAGCTCTCGCCGCTTTTTGTGCTCCAGGCCCGCCGACACTCCGGAACTGAGCGGTCCGTTAATTTGCATGCATTCACACCGGTTTGCGAGCGAGGTAATGAGCGAGGCGGGTGCGGCGTTGGAAGGCTCGTTATGACAAAAATCTTAAGAAAAGCGCGATGGAGCCGAATAAACGTGCAGAACAATAGGCGGTACGATCCGCCGATTCGAACGCGAATTCCCCGGGCAGGATATGCACCGACACGCGTATTCATCGTATGTTCGCGGTCCGACGACAATTCACCACAACGGAACGACAATCTATCCGCACTTGAACACTCGCGAATTCTCACTTCCGATCGGCGACACTTTCGACTCGCAAACACCTCTCTCTGGCCGATCGCGCGAGAACATCCACGCACGTTTTCGGCACTGTGTTCGATTTCGCACGGACTCTACCGCAAGGAATTCAATCCGATCACTCAACTAATTACGGCTGAAAGAAAATTCACGCGGCGCGGAACGCGATAATCACTTAAATAATACGCCAGGCGCGTTATAACTCGCTTCTCCACGGCAGTTGATCGCCGAAACAATACGGTATCTGCGCGGTACGCGAACAGCACGCAGAAATGAGCACGGCACAAAAAAAGTCTTCACAACAAGCTCACATGCACGACAAAAAAAAAGATAACAAGAAAATTGCTACTTGGCGCGGCACTGCCGCTCCAGGGCTTAACTAGTTTCGCAATATGTTATTTTCCATGCACTTAACCTACGAAACAAGCCCCGTGAAGCCCAATTCTGGCCGCTGTCGAAAAATCTAAACACGGGCAAAGGACGCGTCCTTGCCGTCGTAGATATAACGCGAAATACACCGACCAGCCTCGACACGAGGCCTGTGCAACGCGGATTCGTGACTAACAATATGGAAATGGGCACATCACCGTCGTCCGTTGTTCTCCGTCATGAGTTCGTCTCCTCCGTCCCTGGCTGCACCCTCTGGGCTCGTCAGCTTAGACGGGGTTTCCTCTCGTCTCGTACAACACACCACCCGCACGAAAATCGCGGCACGGAAAATTACGTTACATGGCACGGGAAGCAAGCGAACACACGGGAGCCCGAAAATGCGTGTGCGTGCGGCACAGCTGATCGCGACCAAGAGAACGAGGATTTCGATAAGCGGTCGATACCCCGGATAGCGCTGGGATCACGTGGGGTAGGTCGCGTCGGCCGATCAAGCTGCAGGATTACGCAGCGCGGCTCGCAAGCTCGCTGTAGGCGGCAGGATCAACGGGCCGCGAAATTTGAACGCAGGATCTAGTCTGCTATTATGCAGCGGCGCAAGCAAAAATGCAGCGGGATTTCTTCTCCTGACAAGCAGCAACAATACAAGCAGCTCAGCGAACAAGCGATGCAATTGCAAGATCGAAATAGCGCTGAAGTTGTCGGTTGGGGCGATTCGTTGACGGTCCGTTCCGCCGTTCCGCTTGGCTCTCTTGCTGGCGTCGTGAAGTCGTAGAAAGCGTCGGTGTTTCGCTATGGCCTCATCATGCAGCCACCTACCCTCGCTCTCCGCGTGATCTTGATGCGAGACTTCGCGTTTCCGTTCCTCTCTCTCTCTCTCTCTCTCTCTCTCTCTCTCTCTCTCTCTCTCTCTCTCTCTNTCTTGATGCGAGACTTCGCGTTTCCGTTCCTCTCTCCCTCTCTCCCTCTCTCCCTCTCTCCCTCTCTCTCTCTCTCTCTCTCTCTTTTCAGGTATAGCAGACTGTCCTCGGCGAAAAGTCCCACGATGATCCTCGGGACGGGGAGGTGCCGAAATTACATACAAAGAAAAAGAAAAATAAAATCTTTTCTAATATTGCATGCAAGTCCTGGAGGATCTTGGCGCTTGTTTCTCAGCTCGCTTTCCCGGGCTCCCGCAAAAATTCTAATTTTTGTGGCGAGGGAGGAGCGACGTCACAACATATACAACTATATTTGTATATATTTATATATAAACATAACTATTATAATAAATTGCCTTACAAGTTTTTATTTTTAATATTTTAAAGAAAATTTGACGCTAATTATACAAACCTATTATAGTGTTTTATTTTTTATTCTTAATATTTTAATAATTAGTTTACTATGACATTTATCTATTGTTATAGTTTTTTACTCTCTTACTTAAATATATTTTATTTTTTTACACTTATCGTAAGTAAGTTTCTTATATCACGTAAAAGCTAATAATTAAATAAATATTTGATATAAATTATTGGTCACTTTCAATGCAGAGTTACTCTTTTCAAT